ACCGAAATCACGATGAAATTTTAAAATTTTACACAACGGATGATGATGTTGCTGTCACCGCCATCAGCGCTGTTGCATTGAGTAAACATTGGATTTGAAATGCGCTCTTGGGATTTTGATGTACGAGAACGTTACCACCGCACTTCATCTCATAAAGATGTAAACACTTTTGGATCAAAAGTTGCTTAGCCCTTCGCGATCAGAAAATTATTATTTATGTTCTATTTTTAAAAACTCTATGTGGATGTTTTCAATCCAGAGTTGATGTTGTAATTTTTATAAATATTACCTAAAATTGAATGCATTAGGAAACAATATTTGTATTTTTAATAATGAAAATTCTGTAACTAATATTATGACAGAATTTTATATTACAGCTTATAAAGAATTTTGTATTTACATTAATTAATATTTGATTTGTAGTTATATTTGTATTATTTAATTCAACGGCAATGTTATCGCATATTATATTATTATATTGAAATTGATGCCCATTGTTGATATTTTAATATAAAAGAAATGTGTTTTCTTAAATAATTGAATGATAATCTTAAATCTGTAATAGTGCATTTAATCATTTTTATTGCTTACATAATCTCCTAGATTTTTTAATACCCTGACATTATAAAAAATTAAAGCCAATTAATATGATAAATTCTAAATATTGAATAAAATATTTTTAATATAACATTTATTTTAATGAAATATTTAATTTATTAGATTTTAAAATATATATTGAAAAATAGCCGAAATTTTAAGGAAAACAGAATAATACAACAATTAACCTTCTGGCTGATATTTTATTTTTAAAGTAATTTTTAAATAACATAAGGAAAATACTATTCTTTACTTTATAAAAATCTGATAGAAAAATAGATATACAAATTAACAAAAATATAATGTATCGACGGTTTTACTAAATTATAAATTTTAAAGAGGTAAGAGTTTTTTTTATATATAAACTATATAACTAAAAAAAAAATAATAAATAAATAAATATATATATATATATATATATATATATATATATATATATATATGCTATTTATACTTTGCAGAATTTTTAGCCAAAAATTATATATTGGAGTGAAATTTATATATGTTTTCATGAAATAACGATTGCAAGGACTTGTTTGTAAAATTAAATCAATTCATTAGAGCAGAATTTTAGAATTATACAAATATTTCGAGTGACACAATTTAATACTTCAAATTAATTTTTCCTTAAACAATAATGTGTTCTGTACATTAAGGTATAAAAATCCTGAATAATAATGTGTTAAGTATATGAAGATATAAAAACCCAATAATTTATATATCAAACCTCTTGTTTCATTTTTCTTTTTTTTTTGGAAATTTCTTCAAACTGATGTAATCTTGATCTATAAATATTTGAGATATATTCGTTTTTTCACTATTTTAGAACATACTTTGCGTTAATGTGTATATTGCGAAGAAGAGAATAAATATTTTTTATTTACTAGTTTAAATACAAAATTTAAGATGAAAGAAAATTTTTAATAAAAATTTGTCATAAATTTATAAAATGTTGATAATTGTTGGTAAAGTCTAAAATATTGATCAACTTAACATTTCGTTACTTAGAATAATGTTATCGATAATTCTTTTCATATAAAATATTTATTGAAAGAACAAAATATTTAAATACCCGCATTATAAATAAGATTCTTGTGAATAAGCAGTCGAGCGATAGAAATTTTACGATCCAAATCCCATATATTAAAGCCATATGTTATAAATACATCCTTACTTAGTTTCTAAATGAAGATTCGTATAAACATGAAAGAAAGTATGGAGTAATTTTATCTGTAACTTAACTATCTTCTTTTGTAAATAATATAACAAAGTATAACAGTAAAAAAGCAAATAATACCATAATATAGCATTCAAATTCAATACAAATGTATAAAATAATTATTAATATAGTGGAAGAGTATTATCACTTTTTTAATTACACTTTCACTTTAAAGAAATCTACAGGGTTAAATTTCACAATGACTATAAGCTTTGTGGTCTTCTGTCTGAATTCTGTTCATAAAAAAAAACAAGGTAATTACTCATTAATATTTGACCGTGAGTCACTGAATAATCAATATTAATCACTTATTTTACCTTGAAAGTGAAATATTTCGTGTTATTCTTTAAAATGAATTGGTCACTGAATTACTATTAATGGACTAATTTCTTTTAATTGCGTGATTAATTAATTCGAACTAATCTACTCACTTACATTTATTATGAAAATAAAAATCCTAACATTAAAGAAGCACATGTATAAAATATTTTGTTTACTTTTATATTTACCTTCATTCTAATTTGTCTAATAATTTTATGTAACTAAAATTAATTCGAAGCGTATCTCTTGAATGAATGGCAGACTAAAACAATATTATCAGTACTATTATTCACATATTTTTAATTAAATTTTTCATTCAATTTCTATTTGTTTAATATTTTTTTAATTAAGATTTGTTAATATTAATTAATTTTTGTAATATTTAATTTTCTTAATTAGTATTCTTTATTTTGTAATAATAATATTATAATATATAAAAAAACGAATTCCTTCTTTTAAAATTACAAATATTTACTATAAACATTATTTTCTTGTATATTCGGTAAATTAATTGGAATGAAAATAATAAAATGTTGTTAAAATTAGTTATTATACTATGGATTTAGATGGTTAAAATATTTTATTACGTGTTTTAAGATGTATGACTTACATAAATAAAAGAAAAGTCATAAATCACACATTTATTTACATACATATCTTATTATTAAATAAAAATTTTAGTTTATTATACATTTCTTAATATTATTAACAATCAATGATATATATATATTGTATATATCAATGTATATAGATGATGTCAATATAGATAAGTTCTTTATAATGAAAAAAAAACAAATAAAACCCTTTTATTTATTGTTATCACATAATAAGATCAACATAATAGATACATGTATAAGAATATGACGTAAGACTATAAGAGAAACCATTGATTTTAATTACAAAATTGAGCTTAAATAATTATTTTATAATTATTAAAAAATCAAAAGTAATCAAGTAAGAATTTTAAATGCATTTTTGTAAGTATTTTTATTAGAAAAAAGATTTAATTTAATTATTACAAATATTTGCTAACTATTTGAAAATTAATAAATAACATGACTGTGAATTATTTTTTGATAATTATTGAATAAAATTAGATTTTTAGTAGAAATTCGATTATCAAAGTCAACTGTATATTAAATATATTTACAATAGTCGTAAAATTATAATCATAATAATGTTTATATGTTTGAAGAACATGTTTCTAAATATTAAGAACGTTTTTTATAATTATATATATAGCGTTTTTTATATTATATATATATATATATATATATATATATATATATATATATATATATATATATATATAAGGAAATATAGTTAATTATTAGGTTATAAATTATTGAGGATTATAATTTATAAAAAAGGAGTTATTGTATTATTATTCCCTTAAATTGATTATGATAGGTTGATAATTGAGTTACAAAAACACAATCGAATATTTTATTTTTCAACGTTAAAATTTTATTTCGTACGTTATATATTTTTTTATTTTTATTGCCTTTGTTCATATTCCTTTAAATAAGGGTGGCAATTTTATAATAATAAATAGATATTTGAAGGATTATACAAAAAATAAAGGCTTGCGCACCGTAGAATTCTTTTGCTGAACTCGCAGGAGCGTAACAAATATATATCTATCATTAATTAAATGAATGTTACAATATTTTAGTTTATGTTAAATTTCACTATATTCTTTCAACAAGCAACATATGTATATATCAAGTAAAATATATATTTATATATATATATATATATATATATATATATATATAACTCTCTCTTGTGCTCCATAAATTGATGATAATTGATATTTAGTAAATGCAGCTTGCAAAGCTTCTATAAATTTCTCACGAATCCCGTTAAACGTATTTTATTATTGATATTAGTTATAATTTTCAGATCCAATTGAAATGTATTAGGATACATGCAAATGTTCTATGAATATTTGAAATCGATTTAACAGGATTCGTAAACCGCTCATTCTTCTTGTGCGCTGCCTCAT